TTAAGTGTGGGAGAGCCATGCTTCGGCACGAATGGGCCGGCTCGACCGGAGTGATACCACGGCCTCACAGAAAACCGACGTGAAGCAATGCTTGCGTTGTGTTTCGTCGTGTGAGTGAGGTTACCGGAGGCCTAATTACCTTCCCCTTCCCCAATCTCCCCAATCCCTGAATCCCCAAATCCCCAACGATCCTCAAACTCCTAATCCCCAAAAAGCCGGTGACGCACTTGTAACGCCTCTGGTGTTCCAGGTGTCCATGGGCGACGCCGATTGCTTACCATCAGGTGATCCGTCTGCTCGTTTACAGGCTAACGCCATAAAAAAAAAAAAAAAAAAACTAGACAACATTTGATGTAGAATTTCGTAGTCTGTAAGCGATTGAGGCAATGTGGAAATTCTTCTTCTTTTTTACTCGTATCATGGGTATCGCAAAAGCTAATGGTTGCTGATTGGACATAAAGCTGTCTAATAAAGCTAAACCTTTTTTTTTTTTTTTTCTATACCTTGCCCCACACTAGGAATACCTCCTGTATCGTGGGTGTGTTTACAAACGTACAAGGTCACATAAACATGACACACAGACCCGGAACAACAATTTGTGGATTACTAAAGGGTGGAGTGCGGGAATCAAACCCGGTACACGTTGCACGGCAGCCTATTGCCCAGGCACCGCACCAACCGTGCAGTCAAAACGGTTTTAAATTGTCAAACACCAAGCGGGTTGAAATCCACTATGACTACCAACACAATCAAATTTGAAAACTTTATGGTTAGGTATTGAACCTAGAACTCGATTATATACGTTATCCGACTACTATAGACTGACCAACAAGGTCAACTAATAAAACATAAATAATAATATAATATTTTTATAACACACAATATATACTGTAATTTATCATCATTTAATCTGTCTAGAGAAAGGACAGACATACAAATTGCCAAAATAAACTACCGTTATCCTTTTACTAAACTTCTAGAACAACAATTATTTAAACGAAATTAAGCTGTATTTATATAATTGACTAAGGTGTTTATTTGCATACTAATCATTGGTTTCATGTATGTTCGTGCTGATCTTAGGAACGGCCGATTGTAATGATTTAATGAAACATCGTAGATATGTAAGACAAGCGATCACGCGAAACATGATATAGGCAGCACACGCAAGTGTACTTGCGTGTAAAGCTAGTGAAATGAAGCTGTGTGTTATTCAAGGAGTGTTTCATTGATACATAACATCATACACACATCAACAGCCTATATATCCCCGCTGCTAATCAAAGCTTCTTCACACATGGAGAAAGTTTTAGCATTAATCCCTAGCAAAATCCTGGTTTCCTCACGATGTCTTTCTTCACTGTTCGTCAGTGGTATTTAAATATATAATCTGTAAAGTGGTGTTTAAGTATATAATCTAGAAAGAACATATAACTCGGAAAAGTCACATTGGTAGGTTACGAACTCGCACCTTCATGCATGAGAAGTGCCGCGAAGGACTTAACGTGTTGTTGGGGCTCCGGCTCGAAGGGCAGGAGCAGGAATAGGGTGGTTTTTAATTAGTAAGAGTCTGACACTCACTCCCGGCTCACGAAGGCGGGAGTAGCCAGGCGATGATTTTCACCTACTAAAAATATGCAAGAAAAGCCGGCGAAATAACTTCCGGGCTACCACGACACCACCGCGACTGATACATAACATATATATAAACATAAATAAACTCACGGTTATCACTACAAGACTAAGAATCTCCTCTAAATAAGATCGTGTAACCGAAATGTAATCGTAATTGGCAGGCATCTAAAGACCGCAGTATAAGACGTTTAAACTTAATAAAAAATACTGCTACCCGATCTTTGTTATAGCCTTTCGCCACACAAAATAGCCTATTACCAATCACTATGTAATCCCATACTCTGAGCTATTTATTACTAAAGATTAAGGTCAAAAGCCAATAACACTACCCAAACCAGTTTAAAGTTTCATAGTCCGTTGATTTTTTTTATTTGCAATCATTTTACCAATAAATCAGTTCAGTTACTCATTTAAAGACTATCTGTTATAGCTATCCATCAAAGTCTTTCTATGTAACTAGGTAACCATGAGCAATGAACGCGGATAGGCCTGATGCTATTAATTTATTTAAGGTGGACAAGACATTCATTCATCTTCAGTTCCTAACTGTCTTCTTGTGGCCATAACCATATCTATACAAAAGGACTTTGATTTAGCAATAAATTACTGTGAACTATGATTCTAATTAAGCACTGACTATAGATACGGTTGGTGCAACGTTGTTGCAACTCTTTGTGTGATCCAAAAATTATTTGAAACAATAATTTGTTGGTCTGGGTGTCAAGTGTATGTGAACTTGTATTTTTGTAAAGGCAACCGCGATACAGGTGAAACTCGTAGTGTGGGGCAACGTTTAAAAATATTATAACCCATTTGTGTTTATGATAATATGGTTTGTGCTTTCAGTTCATAGTTTTACCTATGCTATTCATATTATCTAGTAATTTTTTTAATAAAAATATTTTTAATAAAAATTAAAAATAATAGTAAAAAAAGTTACTATGTATTTACTGGTAGATATGCTTAAAAATCCACTCACCGTCGCGCCGTAGGTGTAGGTACTCATAGACATCAAATGACTTCTTACTTCAATTATTTGGAAATCAGGGTTTATATAATTAATTTGCACTACCACCCTCTGTACCTTAGTTTTACACAAAGTAATGTACAAATCCATTGGTGTTCAATAAAGAATTTATTTATTTATTTCGTAGTCAGGTTTTTGTTCGGAAAAGTCAGTATTTTATGGTTTCTTTCACAGACTTCTCTAGCATGTCTGTTAATATTTCTTTAATGAAAATCTTGCCTTGTCTGTGTAATTCGGGATTCTAAGCCCAGCTCTTTGGCTCAGACGTCCTTCTTGACAGATACACTTACAAATTCGACCACAATGCAATTTATTCGAGGTCCTTTCTTCATGGTCATAGACCAAAAAAATTCCCTGCACCACAATATTAGCAATATGCAATATTTAAAATATCTGCAAGTCATGTTCAACCTTAAAAATCTAAACATAAATTGCAATACATTCTATTTGCGGTACAATAGATTGCAAAATTGTTTGCTGACTTGCAAAAAAAATGTATTGCGTGTCGTTGAAAAAATCTTATACGCAGACTGACAAACTTGACCCGTATGTGTGTCAATGTCGTGTTTGTTATTAATTTATGTAATAAATATTATTATTTTCTGCCAAATATCTGCTGAGTTTGTGTATTTGAATTGCAGCATTTAATATTTAAAGCTAAACAAACATGCAGTTTTATACATTCTCATAATAACATTTTGTTTTTATTTAATTACTATTGTGAGGTTTTTTTATGGCATGAGCCGGTAAACGAGCAGACGAATCACTTGATGGTAAGCAATCGGCGTCACTCATCGACACCAGAGGCGTTACAAGTGAGTTACCGGCCTTTTGGGGATTAGGAGTTTGAGAATGGTTGGGGATTCGGGGATTGGGGAGATTGGGGAACCGGGGGGTAATTGGGCGTCTAAATAAGTGAAACAATATTGTTTACTTACGGAACTAGAATGTGGCTTGACCAGTTTCAAGCGTCGATGGAGCTCTCAATCATGAGTATGTGCAATGACCGATGCGGCAATATCATCTCCTGTAACCCCTTGTCAGATTTTTGGTCTTCTAACTACCCTTAACCACTATCACAGATATTCATAATCCCAGTTCCATACCCTGTACCATATCGTGGTAGCCTTAAGGTTAAAGACGCTCTGCTCTCATGCATAAGGGCGCGAATTCGAATCCTACCAACGGCAAGTACCAATGTAACTTTTTGCCAGCTATATGTACTTTCTGAAATTAAATAGACACCACTGACTAACGGTGAAGGAAAACATCGTAAGGAAACCTGAAGTTGAAATACTAGACTGGATAATTTATAAATTATAAATTTGGAATGGTCGACCCCTATTGAGCAAGCGTGGTGATTAATGCTCAAACCTTCTCCGTGTGACAAGAGCTCCTTGGTCAGCAGTGGCCATTGGCTGTTGATGATGATCCAGTTTGGTAACTTTTTAACCAAGTAACTCTATAAAAATGAGTGTAAAAGTGACGGGTACAAATAGAATATTATTTTGCGAAGTATAAATATTGTATAATAAGCCATGACAGAAAAAACACATACATATAACATAACATAACATCACGTCATTTATTCCCGAAGGGGTAGGCAGAGGTGCACATTACAGCACACGATAAAACAAAATGAGAAGAAAAACACATTTACATTCTGAAGACCATGATTATGTTCAGTATCATAATAAAATGATAGGTAATACTTTTGATCAGTTCTGTAACTGATTATGTTCAGAAAACTATGAGATTTAAGGCAATCCCATCTTTAGACTGCCACTGCTGTATTTTGTACTTTTTACTGTCCAACAATGGACTGTAAAGGTCCAATAGTGGACTGTTATAGTCCATTACTGGACTAGGGGCCTACGGGATTTCAATGTTGGTCCAGTATGAACGTCGATACGAAGTGTAGTTCCTTTGGTCTACAGTTCATTATGTTTTTGACCTCGCGGGCGAAACCACGTTCAGAAAGCAAGTCTAGGATAACCACTTAAAAACTCTATTGTACTGATATTCAGGAAATTGCAATTTTAATGCATTTTGCTTTTAAGTAAATAAAATAAGACCAGTTCAAATATAGGTTCTTACGTCAATGAAATAAAGTTTCAATTAGCAAAAAAGTGAAACTGAAATTGGAATCTTGTTTTTTATTATATTTTGTTTTTTTTTTTTTCAGAATTTGCCCTTGGAATGCCAGTGTGATACAAGATGTCGAGCACAGTGGAGGTGAACTCGCGAGCCTTGGGACGAGCGCACCTCTCTCATCTACCACAACGCCCGGCAGTGAACCTTAGCTTCCAGGACCTTAGTTACACTGTGCAGAATGGAAAAAGTAAGTGATCAAAATGTTTTTTGCTTTAGAAATTAGAGTATAAGAACTTATTAGCACATTACTTGTCTTGATGGTGTCGTATTAATGAGAGTGGAACAAAGAGAGCATCCTGTGTTTGCGCATAACCTTGTGCTCTGATAAATATTATTTAGTCTAAAATTTTCATGACAACATCATGCTTTTATCCCCGATGGGGTAGGCGGATGCATATTACGGCATTTTACAATTGTAACACCCACTTTTTACTGTTTATATTATGAACCCCATGTAATAGCCTGGGTGTGTTAAGGGTTGAGCCTATTGCCATATACGACAATTCCAAACTCCGTGCTACTACTGAGAATTGTTTAAAAACCCAGTAATAATTTGCTCGACTCGGGAATCGAACCCGAAACACCTTGCCCAGCAGTCGCATGTGCGACCACTCGACAACGAGGCAGTCATTTACATGTCATCAACGATAACAATAATCATGATTTTGTCATATGGTACATTTTATTTAGTATTATACGACAAAGCACGTCAGATGAATCAACTAGCCTGAATTTGTTTATCTGGGTGACAAGTAAATAATAGATAGTAGGTATTTACTTACTATCAATGAGTATTTATCTCAATATTTTGCGTTTTAAACTGTCAAACACCAAGCGGTCACCGGTGACCGCAACCTATTGTTCTATAATTGTGTCTACAAAACCGGTACTCGACGAGTTAAACAATAATGAATAATCATTGAGTCATTCTATTGACAACTGTATATTTTCCTATTGATTTAACTACTAACAGTTATTGGTACACTAATTATCCGAGTTTTTAGTTTCTGGTTACCGATGTAGATCGCCGAGACCGATAGTCTTTTATTTTTCATGGGGGAATATCCAATCCAATCCATTTACTTCTCCCGCCCGAGTGAGGCGAGAGGGAGTGTCAGACTCTTACTGACTAAAGACCACCCCGTTCCTTCTCCTGCACTTCGACCCGGAGACCCAGCCACCTGTTAAGCCCTCCGCGGGTCTAGCGTGACCTTCGAGACACGACTATAAACAACATAACCCTTTCATGAAATTTTGTTTTAATTATTTCGTACACTGGCTCATTTGAAACCGTCAAATAGAACTCTCCGTTGATCAGACCATTAAAAAATTTAGCTACCAGTTTTAACGAAACTGGTTCTTATAGTTTCCCGGGTCAAAAATAAATTATTTTGATTTTACAGTCCAATTAAATATTACACTTAGCAATTTCTTAGATATAAGTGTGCTATTTGACGCGAAAATATGATGACGTCATAAGCTGGTATTTCGTAGAAATTTATAAAACAATATCGTTTTTGACGTTTCGATAAAAGTATTGAATTTGACTAGTTGTCAACTACTAAACATTTTACAATACCCTAGCCATTACATGGAGGAAACTAGTGTAAGATTATTCCAATGCGACCTCAATATAATTATATGTGCAAGTAAAGTACACAAGACCTAGACCTACGCCCAGCCTTGCACTTGTTTTTCTAGATTTTTCTAATTACCTGTGTATGTACACGGTTGAATACAAAGGTAAATGATACAATCATTGTTTACTGATAGAATGTAACTAGGTACTTACACGTTGGTTAGTTTTACATCGTAGAATAAAACTCTATGTGTAGGGATTTTATTTAGATAGGCAGACATTATTATTATTAAGTGTGGGAGAGCTATGCTTCGGCACGAATGGGCCGGCTCGACCGGAGTGATACCACCGCCTCACAGAAAACTGACATGATGCAACGCTTGCATTCTGTTTCGTCATGTGAGTGAGGTCACAGGAGGCCTAATTACCCCCCCCTCCCTTCCCCAATCTCTCCAATCCACGAATCGACAACAATCCTCAAATTCCCATTCCCAAAAATCCCCAAAAGCCTGGTAACGCACTTGTAACGCCTCTAGCGTTCCAGGTGACCATGGGCGACGCCGATTGCTTACCATCAGGTGATCCGTCTGCTCGTTTAGCGGATTTTCCCATAAAAAATATATATTTTTAAAGTACAGAGATAAAACTCGTAAAAACAGACTTTTTCGATAGTTAAATAAAAATAAAAAAATTTGTTAAGTCTAATATTAACTGAAAGTAAGTACAATTTAGACATTTGATAGCTCAGTCTAAGAGCAGAAGTGTTCGAAAATTTTTTATAACAAAAACCTGTTTAATTTTAAATAAACATTAGGTTAGTGGATCGATAAGCGAACATGTTAGAGTTCGCTATCTACATGACAATGGGGTCGAGTTGTTTCCGTTTCAATGACCAGCAATCTATAGCAGTGACTAGTGACACTGCACCGTAATAGAAACTATTTTTGCGCTAGTCAGATGGCGCTGGCGATGCATAAAGTCTTGTCACCCTTGTACATATAACTAAAAAAGATGAAATGACACGCACGGCAAAGGCTATGGGTGATTCTTCTTTTGCTTTGTTCAAGGTTTTGTGGAGTTGGTACATTATTGTCTTCTCTTTTGTTCTCCCCTTACAAACTACAAAATAATCTATCTTCCTTTACTGTCTTCAGTCGTCCTCTTCCTTTCCAACAACATAAAAACATAACATCACGCCTTTTATCCCCGGAGGGGTAGGTTGAGGAGTACATTATGCCACTGTACAATGTTACGCTCACTTTTCACTATTTATGTTATGGGTCCCATGTAATAGGGGGTGAGCCTATTGCCATATACTGGGCACAATTCCAGACTCCATGCTACTACTGTGAATTTTTGGAAAAACCCAGTAATACTTTGCACTACCTGGGAATCGAATCCGAAATCCCTTGCCTGCCTTGTTTTTCATAATTCATAATTAATATCTATGAATTTGCGAGAAGAGTAAACACAGAATTTCAGACAAAGGTTTTTAGTATAATAATCCTCCACTAATAATCGGAAACTGGCTCTTATTGCATTGAAAATGTAAGTACAGTGTTATGCACCACGTAGTACATCGTATAGTTGTGCCTATGTATCTGTAAACTGCGGTTACAGGACGTTGACCTCAAATTGTTGCAGTTATTTATGCTAAATATAGATGTATAGGAACTAGAATAGACATAGCCATTGGGATATTTACTGAGCCTTTAGACCAAAATATTGGGACTTGTTGCGAATTGAGTAGAAGACAGAATATGAAAATCAAAAATGTTATTAGTCCGTCGGTTAGATAATGATAAAATATTAGATTCAAATTTTTTTATTATTGTTGTATAAGAAAACAATACTTCGATAAAACGAGGTTAAGTTTAAGAGTGGGAGGTCGTTACGTCATGCTATCCTATAAAATGTAGTCAATCGTGACGTTCAACGATATTCCAAATCAATATATCGTCGAAAGTATTTGATTATGTAAAAGAAAAATACGTGTCTAATGTTTTAAAATAATCTATTAGACGGACATCAAAATAAAATTTAGGATACTACCCTATTGTAACTGATGATAATGTAACAATATTTTTATTAAAAGGACAACAAGAAGATTCTTTATATAGCAATCATAGTGACATACTACAGAATTTCTTTTGGGGAACGTAAGAATATTATGAGATATGATATAATCTATGATAAATACTGGCAACAAATCCAAATTCTTTGAAATTTAAAACCTGTAATACTTCACCCGATCTTACAGATTAATACTCTTGCCTCGGTTAAAATAGTACAACTGCAATATTTACACAGTGCCTAGTAAATTAAATATAAACATTAATGAAGGAAATTGGGGTCATACAACTCGTCACGTGAATGACCACACTAAGTTTACTACAAGCAGTACGCAAGCGCAGTGCACCGTGTTGCACCGCCGCGCCACCTATAATTACTGTTGCCTAGAGAACATTGGTTAATCTTTAGAAAGCTACACGTGACTGTAATATAGTGAGGTGGAAGGTTTTGTGGATTAGTATCGGTAGAAGTGAAACAAGTGAATTTATTTCTACAAATAGGCTACAAGGCAGCACTTTTACACGTCAATAAAGAAGAAGATGTTTGGATGCGAAGGGAAAATTAAATTCAGTTGCTAGAGGCTCATGTCCATGTGTGGACGGAAATAGTCTAATGATGATAGATAGATAGATATTGCAGTTCGTACGTTTTGGTGTTTTTGTCGATTTCGATTTTTGAGTATTCTCCAATGCACTTAGCATCCAGTCTGTCAATGCACCCGATATATGGAAATGTGAGCTTATTTTCATACTCGACTACTTTTTGTACCACTAAAACCGCAGTTAGTTCCACAACAGCAACTGTTAACCATCGACACAAGTAATTCAAGTTAGTTACCTAAGTAACTGGTTTTATCGATAGTTTCGCTTCACTAAGCCGTTGCACGTGACTGTCCTATAACTTGATTGAGAGTAGAATGCACTAGCACGTGTTGGGTAGTGGGAAACTGCAACAGAATCCACTATGTCTTCACGTCAGTTCTTCGGAATGAGGTTAGTGGTAAACTCACATTTCGATGCAATACATTGGCAAATATTGCAGTTTGGGTGTGTTCGGGGATTCACGTTTTCGGTAGTTGTTTAGAGGTGTTACTTGCGCATAAGTTGTTAGTCATGGATATTCCGTGTAAAATACAATGTTTGTATTGGAGTTATTTGTTTAGTCTGTTGATATGTTACTGAACGACTTGTAAGCTACATTTTTAAAAAGGTTTTTCTCCTGAGTTACTGCCTCGGTAATACCTATATGTACGTTTATATATATTTGCTCTTCAAGCTTGCTAAGTACGATTGTTTTGGTATCTGAAATTTTTTCCCATAAAATGTCAAGCGCGATTATTTGATTATAGTAAAAATCGAGTCTGGTTCTGATCGGGCGTCGAGTCACCCGTGCTCGCCACCCGCAGGCCCGTGTTTACGGTGGCCGGAGATCGTCTCGTGATCCCCGACGCCCGTAGTGTCTCTGACTCGCGACGGCTGAGGCGTGAGGAGGTTCGTTCCCTGATGCGCCCCGCCTGCTCCTTAGCTATCATGACT